TCAGGTGGGAGTGGGTGGGGAGGGGGTTTGTCGCAGTTTGCACTTGTTTGAAAAAAACTCCCTTTGGTCCGCCATTAATGTGGGCTTCGGCCCGGTTCGAGGGTGCCATCGAACAGGGTGTTTTATGCCTTGTTTTATTTATGCAAAATTATGTTTCAATTAAACGAAACGCGCACTGTAATTGGCCGCCATTTTGCTGGCGCAGACCCGGGGCAGGAGCAGCCAGTCAGCCAGCAGCAGGAACAGGGTTCGCGCGGACGGCAACATCTGCGATGGGCTGTAATTAGGCCTCGCATATGCCGCGGCACAGCATTCAACAGCATTCGCATCAGCCCCGCCCCAGACGCGATGCTGAAACAGAATTTAAAGTAGGATCATCGCTTGGCGTTTGCGGCTTTGTTTGCCCTGTCAAAATATTGTAATTCTCTTTCGGCCAGGGCTCAACCCGCGAACGAATTTGAATGCCATAAATTGCCAGAGTTTATGTGCGATTTGGCATTAGAATTACACGGCCGACTAACGTTTATCCGCGGGGTCGCGGGGTTGCGGGGTTGCGGGTCTCGCGACTGAGAGGTGGTGGATATATGTATACGCAGAATATGAATAAAACATATGGCGGGAATCGTTGTTCCAGCGCCTCCAAATGTTGGGCATCTTGCTGGATTGGTGGGAACCATCCAGTTGCCAGAAAGAGAATTTGCGGAGGTACTCGTATACTTATTATAACAAAATATACTAGGGTGGGGAAAATATTCTGAAGATATCTGGAAATTAAATACTCTTTGGAAATATACATACAGGAGGAGCTACTAGCACCGACAACACACCTATTTGCACTCCCTTTAAAGATTTAATGATACGAGTGCTGTTCAGATGTTTGCAACGCAGAGAATGAAACAGCTTCGATCCCAGTTGATGAGTATTTATTTACGCTTTCTCTCTTGTTTTTAGAGATATCTCAAAGACTCTGTATACATTTTTTCCCAACCAAACAGGTCAGATCATTTGTTTGAATCGGCATGGTGTCATAGGGAAAATGTGTTGGACATCAACGGAACGGAGTAATAATCATATACACATTGAGTCTTCGGGAAAAATCTCTTTGAATGAAGAAATTATATCGCTGGATGTGTTTAAAATTATTTAAGATCTATCCTTCTGGGGGAGTACAAGTATAAAATGTATTGTGGGATTGTTTGCGCACAGCATATGAAATAAAATATTTCAAACGTTGCCTTATCGCGTCGATGATCGCCTTTGGGACAGTTTAAGCGACACAAAAACTTTTCTAATAACAGCATCCAAATGTGAACTTATGCCCGGCACGGCACGGCACGGCCCGCTCCCATGCAGCCCTGCGTGCTCGTCCTACGTGCTCTGCATGGTGAGCAGACACATCCGCCGTGAACCCAAGCCCGAACTTGCCCCCATACTTTACTCTTACTTCTACTCTCACTCCATGCCGAGCCATGCCCCCCCCATTCCCCCATCAATGGGGCAATCTTTGGAACGCCATTTTGACGTTTTCGAAAGTTTCTTTTATTGCATACATGAGCCATTTGGGTGCTTGGGCTTCCGTTTCCGCTGCCATTGCCATTGGCGAGGACTCTGCTCGTTGACGCAGCCATTACGCCGTCGTTGCTTCGAACAGGACAAGGACATCGTCTGGAATCCTTCTCCTCCTTTTCCTGCGCCTGCGAATCGAACTTCGTTGGTCCTTGGTGCACATGTGTGTGCCATAAACGCCGTCGTTATGTGTGGCGCTTATTATCATAATCCGTTGAGTTGTTGCCGCATTAATTAAATTTAATTAAAGGCGTTTTGCAACAGTTCAGGGTACGTGGCCACGCTGCAAATTGCAGAACTACATCTCCAGTCACAGCGAAAGCGTGAGTCCAGCCATCAGCTCTCAGCCATCCTCCCCCTGACCAGAGATCAAGACGAACCCTAGCCCCAATCATCCTTTGGACGAGCCATGAAATCAATTTCCATAAAACGGCATTCGGTAATTAATATTTGTGGCATCGGCATTAGCAAGCGAGAATTTATGCCTCCGAAAGAACTCTATTGGATCAAGTCAATTAGAGGGAAAATCTAAATGAAACGTTGGTAGTAAGGATTAAGTATGTATCTGCTCTGCATACATGTGAAGATTAATTAGTGACCAGAAGGAAATAACCATTTGTGGATGAATGGAAGATCCATAACATTGGACGAGGAAGTCTTGAAACGAGCCCAGAAATTCGATTTCATATTTTATTCATATGGAACGGTATAATATTTATTTCCGATATATCATCACGTCAGCAGGGGAATAACAGATCTATTTGCAATTCATTGGGTAGTCTGAGGTTAAAACTAAAACCATAATATGCATACTCCGGATGTAATTTGCTTTCTTTCACATGTGCGAGTGCAAGAGACACTGCATATCCCCCTAAGGGGGTTTCCCCACGGAAATAGGCCCACATATTCCCAGTTTTGGATATCCAGTTTGCAGTCATAAACTCAAAATATGAAGAATGTTTAGCAGATTCAATTTAAATCCACTCCGCAATTATTTGGAAAGATTTTCTTTAGTTTTTATTTTTATTTATTTATTAATTCTTCACTTCAGTTTCTGGCTTATGCTTAAGTTATTTCGTTTTCTTTATTTTGGGGGCGGGGTTCGCTTCAATCAGTGATTCATAAATCCATATTTCATTCAGCCCCTTGGCTCTGGCCAACACTCTGCTAGCGCGGGGCGTTGTGGCCTCTATAGATGATTTTTTTAGTGTTGTGTTTAGGGTTAATCCACTTTCTTATTGTAAATAGTAGTTATGCAGTATTATGTACAAATACAATGGCAAATATTGGGCGCCCCTTCGCGCTCTAATTCTAGGATCTTTATAAAGTTCGAATATAATTCAGTTACGTATATTCCGGCTCTTGTCTCTGTCGGGATTCCCCAAATATGTCGCTTCGGTTTGTGTGAGGCTGGGTAAGTAAACTTTGTTGGTTAGTAAATACTCGTGTGTAGTTATCGACTTGGTTGCTACGTATATATGTTCTTTAGTTATTTGACTAGTATTTAGTTTGATTTAGTTTCGAGTTCTGGGACCTTGGCAAGTGGGTCGCCGTATGGATGGGTTCTTCTCTTTGCAGTTGTTTCCCAGTCGATGGGTGAGCGCGCTGGGTGAGGCGGGGTGAGTGAAACAAAGGTTGTTTAATTGTAGTTATTTTCGCATTCATTTGAAATCGCATAAAATTATATAATACACAATTCGTCACAACTAAACTTAAACTAAAATTAACAGAAGTGTTTAGCATTAAGGTTCAAACAAAATATTAATTATGCGCTAATTTGCTAGGCCATCCGAATGAGTCGAAACTTAACTGATCGTCGAAGCTTAAACCAAAGGAAACACAACTGTACAGAAACGAAAACGGAAACGGAAACAGAAACAGAAACATAATTTTCTTCAATCCTCAATCAGGTCTTGAAAAAAGGCAAAAGGTTGTCGCTACCCATTAATATCACTCGAACCAATGCAAACCAGGGGGACTAAGCTGACCTGAACTGAAGGGGTGTCCTAAAGCGAAAGATGTGCACAGGGTGTGGTGTGGTGGGGGCGGGGCACGGGCATGCTGATTGGTGTGTGGTGTATGGTGTGTGGGGGGGTGTGGAATAATGTGACTCGACTTTGACTGCATTTAATGTTAACATTCTAGATACACATACATTTAGGTATTTATACAAACACATAAAGTTCATACTGTATATATTTGTAATATATATTCATATATATTTTTATTATATATGCATATGTATATGTATATTTGTCATTAATTGTTTATGTAAATATGCGCAGTGCAAGCCCTCCTCTATCCTCTATCCTCAATGCTCTGCTTCGGTTGTGTATAATAAATATATCTTGACTTTAGTTCAATTCTTTAATGCAATCCTCAAAGATTATGCTAGGTAAATTTAATTTCGGGAAGTGGAAATCTACGTATATGGGGTTCTGCCGCCCTCTCTCTCTCTCTCTCTCTTAGTGGGCCTTCTCTCCGTATCTGTATCCCACAATCCACGATACACAATCCTCGACTCGACAGTTTGTCTGTTGTTGCAACCTTAAGCTAATACGTATTTCAGAGTTCTATTCAGAGTTTGTTATTTTGTAGATGTGTGGAGCTGTGCGCCCAGCAATCAATCAACGGCTAGTACACACTAGTCTAGTACATTACTTAACTGTAGTTAATTTAAAATTTTAGTCACTGGCAAAACGACAATTTATTTCGTAGCTTCGTCTGAATCCTTTTTCCATATATTTCATTGATTTTGTTTCGTCATTTATTATTATTATTATTACGTATTTGAAATCGTGATTATGCTTTTGGTATGTTGCATACCGTTCGTTCTTACAACTTGTATTTATGGAAATATTTGCGCAATTTGCTTGCGTACTTTTAGATGCTACGCTACCGATGCTGCGATCGAGTTGTTTCGAATTAAGGTTAATATGGCATTGAAGAAATCATTGTATTCAAAGCGTGGGCAATCAACAAAATACGGCAAACACACAGTAAACACTTTGGACAAACCTTAAACGGAACGGTGGAAGGGGGCGTATCGAAGAACATAAACAGGGACAAACAAGGACTTCCAATAAATAGGTAAATACAAAAGGTACACTCTAACCCTAGATGTAAGTATATGTACGTGTGTTTTGTATGTATATTGTGTACTAGGTAATCCTACAGCAGTCGCAAATAATTATACAGTTGAACCCGTCTCGTTGCCTCTCTCGTGTGGGGCCGGGTATCGCCTGGCAACGCGGTTCTCTGACTATCAAAAATCGCTCATTTCGTCCGTAGATCGCGTCTAGTGCAAACTCCTCCTTTAAGCATGTACCGCTATCGCTATCGCTAATCTAAGTAGTTCAAGTTATCTATTAATATTAGCAGGTTGCGCACCTGGGCCCACATCCGATTCGCGGGGGGTGGAAGTCGATTGAGGCGATGCCATACCATCCACTGGGGGTTGAAACGGAGAAGAAAATGGAAGAAGCTCCGTAGAGCTGCACTAAAATCGAATGTGGTGGCTCTGCCTATCAAATAGACAGCTCCACTCCACGCCACGAAGGCTCGGGAAAGCTGCGAGGATGGCAGCACTCGAACGAACCCCTTCACTTCACCCCGCGAACCGCATCGGAGCCACAGTGCGCACTCATTGATTTCGCATGTGTGTGTACTGTACCGTACCTACGTACGTATGTGTGTGTGTATGCTTATATGTTTTTATATCCGTTAATTGTAGACTTATGCAACTATTTACTATGTAAAGGTTTACGTATTTTAGTTATCGAGTTTATCTTTCGCTTTCTCGCGCTACTCAGACGAAGAGAAAAAGACGAAAAAGAACGCCGAACGGGGGCGGTGGTGGCGTGGGGCCAATGGCGGAAGAGTGGCTGGCTGGCGGGGGCAGCTTAAGAGTTCACCTTACTGACCGCCTTCAGCAGATCGTGGTTGCTCTTGTCCAGGGCACTCATCATGCCCAGGTTTCCGCCGAGCCCGCCGCCAAGACCCGGACCGATTCCAGCGCCGATTCCAGCGCCGACACCCACGCCCACGCCCATGCCCAGGCCGAGCTTGAGATCGTTCTGGCCCACGACGGAGTGGTGCAAATGGCCCGGATTGTGTGCGATGATCGAGTGGTGGTCCTGCTGCTGTTGCTGCTGCTGCTGGTGCTGCTGTTGCTGTTGTTGCTGCTGCTGCTGCTGTTGCTGCTGCTGCACTTGTTTGTTCTGCTGGGCGGATTTCATCGTCTCCTGGGCCTTCATCTTCTCCTGCTCCTCGCGGTCGCGTCGGGCCTTAAATGGGAAGGAAGGAGGAAAGAAAAGAGTTTTAGTCTTCCGCTCTACAGTCGATCTCTGACCCACTGCTAGAATGGGAGAGAGAGGGAATCGTGGCGTGGGCTGGGGCATCGACTCACCTGCTCGTTGATCTCCTTGACTGCGCGCAGCTCCTTCTTCAACTTCATGCGGCGGTTCTGGAACCAGATCTTGATCTGGCGCTCGGTCAGGCAGAGCGCGTGCGCGATCTCGATGCGCCGTCGCCGCGTCAAGTAGTGGTTGAAGTGGAACTCCTTCTCCAGCTCCAGCGTCTGGAAGCGCGTGTAGGTCTGTCTGCCGCGGCGGCGTGGGCATCCGTTGGGGCCTGTGGGCGGTAGAGAGAACAAAGAAAGTCACGTCAGTCACGCACTCATACTGCCTGCCAGCTGTCTGCTGTCTACTGCCTGCTGTCTGTACATTTGTGGGATGATGTTGTTCGGCGTCTTTGGGGCTGTCTTTTTTGGCAACTCTTAATGAGCCGCAAAGATGCTGCCCGACAGGCGGGAATGGAAGTCTGCCTCCACCTAACACATGATTTGTGTCTGTAGCTGGGGATGGGTCGCTGGATGGGGAGCTGGGAGTTCGAAGAGGAGGGCGAGAGAGAGTGCACTGCGAATGTCTGGCTGCGAATTACGAGCTAAACAAACAGTTTGTCTAACAATCTTGCTGGAAGGGTGAGGCTGGAGAGACCTGACGTCAGCGACGGCAGCAGCAGAGCAGCAGCGGCAGCATCGGCAGGCGCCCCAGGACTTGGACTCCCCGGGGGGCGGGCAGGCTGAACCAGCGCTGATTCCGCCTCGGATTGCACGCAGTGCATGGAAGGGTGAAGCAACACACCACACCGACTCCCGCAGCGGCAGGTCTCTCCACGGTGGCCAGCAGTATCCGCCAAGCGCTTTTCCCTCGATTTTCCAACTCTCCCATGCCATGCCAGGCGATTCTTATTTTTTTTTAACGATTTTCCACGCTACCTGTGCGAATTTTTTGCGCGACGGTGCATGGGCTCCGTGTTTATGTTTCGGAAATCAAAATTTCGCTATCTACAAATTGCTGCCTCATCCTCTGGCTCAGAGCCTCTCACTTTGGCTCTACCGCTTGCCGTTTTATGGCTTGTATGCCGTCTCCCTCCCTCACCCTCTCTCTCACTCTATGTCTCTGTTTTTTGTTTTGCTTTGTGTAGAGTTTTTCCTGTAAAAGGTTTTCGTGTCAGCAGCAATTTTTTATGGTCGCAAGTTGCGACTTTCCCACTGCAACGCAACAACAACCGAACCGAACCAAGCCAAACCGAACTAAACCGAATAAAAAAAGGACCATTTTTGCGTAATATTGTGAAAGGTGCAGATCTAGCAGTTGCAGTTGCAGTTGCAGCTGTAAATCATTTCGGGTTTTCGAATATCCGATGCATCTTTTTATGATATTCGGCAGTTGGCAAAACATTTACGGATCGATTGAGGCCGTGAAATGGGCGGGCAGGGGCGGCTCTACCTGAGACGCTTATCAGCTCTGGTGAGTCATTCCCAGAGAAGAGTAGGACGGTGGGTCCCCCCACCAGTCACCAGTCTTATCATCCCAAACTGAAACTAATTCCATTCTCTGCTCAAGCACTCTGATATTTTTAATTTGAGGAAAGCTTCCGGGCACCATAAAATCGAGAAACATTCAGATCCTGCCCTCTGCGAAGTGGTCAGGACCAGGACCCAGTCGGGGAAAAGCAATTTCAATTCTAATCAACCTCCAGCCCTGCGTTGGAGCTCCTTCCCGGAGGCAGGGCTGGAGTGGCTGGGCTAGGCTTGGGGCACCGGAATACCGAACTAATCTAAATTATTTACACGCTACAATGAGCAGCTACAATTCGTCCCATAAATCACGACTCCCAGGACACACGCGCCCCTAAACGAGATTTACGAGCCCCGCAATGGCGGCTGCGGCGCACAGGTGCGAGCGAGACGGCTGCAGTGCGCACAGGAGTGATGGAATCCAACATGGCTGCCGCAGTGTTGTCTGTGTCGGACAGGTAGACACACGCACACAGCCATCGACTGTGAGAGCGCATGCATGTGTGTGTGGCCATGCTCTCGATGTCCGCTGGAGGGGGGGAGGGAGCTCAGTGGTGAGTCGGCGCAGGAAAACCGGAATTTTCGAGAGAGAGAGTGAGAGAGTGAGCACACATTGAGTCACATGGCAGCGAGAATTTAGTTGCCTTGCTATTGATTTTCCATTGAGCCGGACGAGGAAATCGTTTTCACTCAATTCGTTTTCCAACTAGCATTCAAGTCATGATTCGAATTTCGAACCCACACATTCAACTATTCAAGAAACAAAATCCTACACTTGAAGCAGACAACATCAACTGAGTCGCAGCGAGGGAGTCTTTAGGGTTCGTTGATCTTCACAAATTCTATTCGAAGTGAGGAATTATGAATAAAGGATTTCTTCTACATTGATGGAAGGAAGAACTGGCCCTAAATCAGCTTCTATAGAGAGTAGAGTACAGAGTCAGCCCGGGTTTCCCCCGGCCGGTCTCCTTGGAGATTTGCGGACTTCCGATTGCGCTCCCACGATACATTTTCCTAGTGTCTCGATAGTCTTGACAGGCAGTCGCTGAGCAGATATCGCATGTCTTTGGGGAGTGGGGGCGGTGGTCCGTCTAACCGGTTCGTTGCACAATTGCGCAGAAAACCATTTCCATTTTCCAATTAAAAATCAATTAGCGCGCCGTAAATCGAGGCTAAAATTGACTGATGCGGCTGCTTCGGGCCCGAAATGCAACAAGTAAACAAATCAGCGAACTAGAACCACAACCAGACAGAAATTCCAGACGCGGCGGCGTTGGCCAAATAGAGCAAGAGGTACAGTCGAAATCGAGTGGCTGGAAGCGGAGCGGGAATTGAAATCAGAATCTGATTAAGACACGGGAGAGGGGTGTGGGGACCGGGACCCGTAGTGACGAGGAATGACAAGACGAGATGATGGCCGTCCCAAGGCGCCGCTGTCAACGTTGTGAATGGGATTTTGGATGGTTATGTGAATGGTTATGGGGATGGGAATGGAAATGGGAATGGAAATGGGAATGGCAATGGGCCCAGACCCGGACAGCGTCTATAACAATGACATTAACAATTAAAAATATTAATAATCATAAACGTAAACGTAATTGTTCAATAAACAGCGGCGCGTATAAATAAGCGCAGAAACATACGAAAACGAGCCACAGAAAAAGAAAAAAAACAGCGCAGACTGAAACTTATGATGACATAAAAATCATAAAAACAATTCAAAGCGTACAATAAAGATACACAAACACAACCACACACACAGGCAGGGTGGGGAGGTGGAAAGCACCATAGTTTATATGGGTGTGAGTATTTGTATCTTTGTCTGTTTCGTATCTGTGTGCACTCGAAAGTGGTTCCGTGGGGACGTTGGGACCGCGTCCCGCTTCCGCTCCCGCTTCCAGTCCTCGACAAGCGACACAAAATCGTACAATAAACAAACATTCATTTTGTTGTATTTCGTGTTTAGTGTTTGGCTTCTATACCCCCTTCGCCTGCTCGCCCCTTTGTCTTTTGGAAAATAATAAACAAATTTACATATCGCTTGACACAGAACTCTCTGAGACATTGTGGTCAGGCCCCAGCCCCATCCCCATCCCCTTCCCCAGCCGCGAGTGTTATATGTACAATGTACATACATACTCGCACTCGTACTCGCAGTCGTAGCCCTGTTGTTTCAGTTGTGGCAATTAATTTGAATTCTTTGTCGGGCCTAACTGTTTGCCGGCCCATAAATTCCTGATTTTGCTGCTGCTGTTGACCAGCCGAGAATTGGGGAATCGAAAGTTCACCCGCCACTCCACTCCGCCTGTTTGTTGACTTTTGGCGCGCAATTTTTTCAGTGTTTGTCTTTGAACGGAATTTGGGGAAATATTGGGAGGTTTTCTGCACATTCGGCTGATCTCACATCTGGGCTTGCATTTCAGTGCGGGTCCCCGCGGGGGCGTAAACAGTTCTTTGTTCGGAAAGGGAAACAGCGTGAAATTGATATCTTCAGTGGAGACCGCCCAAAATAAAGCGAAAGAAGCACAGATTAAATGTATGAAAATAAATATTACAAATGCATGTAAGCAGAAAACTATAAATTTTGGGTCTACTGTGAGAGAGGATTCGTTCTCTTTCATTTGTATAATCTAGAAATCATATAAATATGAGTCCACTCACGGACAAGGAATATTCACATATTCACATATTCACATTCATAGTTTTTGATTGATTTATTTAACTAATTCAACCGCAATTATTTTCCCTTTTCCCAGAAATCGTTTCTTCTGCGAGCTCCTGGGTACAGCTACATACATATGTATGTACATATGTACGCCCATTCCACGCCCTTTGTATTTATCTGGTTGATTTTTGGTGAGGCAGATACATATCTATCTCACTTGTGAGCTGTGTGTTCGTGGCTGGTTTGGTTTGGTTCGGTATGTTTTATGCTGATTTGTTTATATTTGGTATGAATTTTCGAAACGAAACTAACTTCCCGGATGGCATGTTGAAAGATATATAAACAAACGGCGGACATTTAACATGCCCCAAGACCCACCAATACACACGCCTCACATGCGTATATACATTTATGTATGTATGTATGTATGAATATATTTACAAGTGAGGAATGTTGTCTGATGGCTCAAAGACTTGTGCTCCGTGGATTTGACGGAGTTCATTGTTTCCACGAGCTGGGGAGCGGGGCCGAATGGAATGATCTTTCGAGCATTTAGCGCAAATTGCAGTGTTCTCTGGTAAAGCGACATCCCCGGGGACCCGGGGACCGCTCCGCACAGCCAGGGATATGCAAATGCGCGGAATCCTTGGAGCAGCGGGGCCAGAGCAGCCAGCAGCGACGAAGACTAATTAAAGTTTGAAAGAAAAGCCGCTTAAACGCTCCTTTGACAAGGCTCTCGGGCAACATCTGGCGCCTTTGTGCGGCTTTTAGCCGAGGACGGCAGAGCAGGGGATGAGGAGGGCGGGGCAGGTAAGCGCCGCCATTAACTTGGGCTCGACTCGGGGGTGGCAGCCGCCAAGAGGCAGTGGCAGAGGCAGTGGCAGTGGCAGAGGGAGAGGAAGCTCCTGGCTGCCATTGCAAATAATTTATGTTTATTAAATTTATTTAAATTTAATCAGTCGCGCGAGCATTTCGTACGCACAAGCGCTGCCAGGCGGTGGGGGAGGACGGGCCGGGCCAGTGGGGTGTGCCGTGTGCTCCTGCTTTGGGGTTGGGGTTGTGCCTTAGCTGCTGGGGGATGGGATGCTTTCCCTGCAATTTATG